GCCCAGAGGGATATGTTGAGTTCCGACAGGGAGTGACATCCCCGGAATGACATCCCAGAGTGACATCCCAAGAGTGACATCCTCGGGGTGACATCCCGGGAGTCACAGACATCCCAGCGGCTCACGGCAGAGTGGGGTGGCACTGGGAGGATGTGACCGGCCACCAGTGTGTGACCATGAGGTTGTGACTCGTCCCCAGGAGAGACCCAAGAGCGCCGTGTTCACCACCGAGACCAAGGTGAAGATGAGCGTGGAGGAGCAGATCGACCGCATGAAGCGCCACCAGAGCGGCTCCATGAAGGAGAAGCGGCGCAGCCTGCAGCTCCCCAGCCCACAGCAGCTCCCCGGCCCCCAGCCCGACACTTCCAGCACCAAAACCCCCTCGTCCTACAAGGTGGTGAGTCCCTGAACGCGCGGGGACACCGCGGGGTGACACAGGCGACAAGGCGCCACCGCGTGGGGACGCTGAGCGGGACGCCGTCCGTCTGTCCGTCTGTCGCAGGTGCGGCGGCACCGCAGCATCCACGAGGTGGACATCTCGGACCTGGAGGCCGCGCTGCGCTCCGAGGAGCCCGGCAAGGTGTACGAGACGCCGCAGGAGGAGATCGCCCGGCTGAGGAAGATGGAGCTGGAGCCGCAGCACTACGAGGTGGACATCAACAAGGAGGTGAGCACGGCGTGTCTCCGAGTGTCCCCAGCGGCCTGGAGCAGGGTCCAGGCAGGATTTGGGGGTCAGCAGTGGGGGCTGGAGTCGCCAGGGTCCGGCACAGGGCACCACAGAGCTCGTCCCTCTGTCCCCAGCTGTCCACGCCAGACAAAGTCCTGATCCCCGAGCGCTACGTGGAGCTAGAGCCAGAATCGCCCCTGAGCCCTGAGGAGATGAAGGAGAAGCAGAAGAAGGTGGAAAGGATCAAGACTCTCATTGCCAAATCCAGGTGAGGCTGNGGCCAAGCGGGGACAGGTACCGAACCCTGCCTCCCCTTCCTCCTCCTCCTCCTCCTCCTCGGGGCATGGAAGGCGCTGGGATGAGGCAGGAGCTGGAGCTGCCCACCCTGAATCTACAGGGACATTGTGGAGGTGGCACTTGGCGCTCTGTGTCCAGCCCTGCCACACCCCTGGTGTCCCCAGGGTCGCCGCACCTTGTGTGCGCTCAGGACAGGGATTGTCCCCTCCTCTTCCTCCTCCTCCTCCTCCTCCTCCTCGTGGCATGGAAGGCACTGGGGTGAGGTAGGAGCTAGAGCTGTCCATGCCAAATACACAGGGACAGCGTGGAGGTGGCACTTGGCACAATGGAGGTGGCACTTGGCAAGGGGACAGTGTGGAGGTGGCACTTGGCGCTCTGTGTCCAGCCCTGCCACACCCCTGGTGTCCCCAGGGTTGCCACACCCAGTGTGCACTCAGGACAGGGATTGTCCCCTCCTCCTCCTCCTTGTCCTCCTCTTCATGGAGAAGTTGTCCCTGGTTGTCCCTGGTTGTCCCTGGTTGTCCCCTCTGCTTTGCTCTGCCTCTGTCACTGTCCTTCCGTGTCACTCCAAGCCCCCAGCTCCAGGGCAAAGCTGGATTTGGGAATTCCTGGTGACACCTCGGCCGTGTGTGGGGACACAGGTGACACGAGTGTCCTCACGGCCAGGGGTGGGGATGTGTGGCCACGGAAAAGCAGTGGCTGTGCCGAGCTGGGAGGGGGCACAGTGGTGGCTGTGTCATCCAGGGTGAATTTCGGGGGACACACCGGGCTGCTGGGTCTGTTGTCACACCCCTCTGTCACCCCAGCAGTTCTCATGGGATGCAAGAGGGGAAGGAGCCCAGAAATGTCCCTTTGCTGGCGCTCCTGGCCCTGTGTGACCCCATGGGCACAGGGTGCAGCAGGAGCCCAGCACAGGATGTCCCTGTCCCCAGCTCCTGGAGAGGCTGTGGAGGGATTGTCACCCTGTCCCTCATTGTGGGGACAGCAGTGGGTGCCCAGCTCTGACAGGATGGGACACAGCAGGGACAGGAGCACAGCCCCCCCAGCTCCTCTCCCCACAATTTTGGGGTGCTCTGGTCCCACCTGGCTGCTGTCTGTCTGTCCATGGAGTGTGACCATGGTCTGGCTGTCCCCTCAAGGGCAGC